CTAATGGTCAAATCAAGCTCAAAAAAGTTTGTTTCCCAAGCACTTTTATTGGCTACCGAAGAAGGTGATCCACAACGATGGGCTACTGTCAAGGACAAACCTTCGCACTATAAGAACGATTTTTCATTGCATCAAACGGGATAAAGGATGGTAGTGAAATTGTTCCAGTTGAAGAGGTGATGGATCAACATCATATGATAAATAACAACGAGGAAAGGATGGAAAGAGCTGAGATGGAAGAAAATTCTAATAAGGAAGGCCATCCAAGGAAGAATGTGTATTTCACTACTTCAAAGAGTAAGGTCCTTTTCTATGAGTCTAGCAGCAAGGAGCTGGATCAAGACTTGGGAGAGTTGCAAGAGGCATGAACCTTAAGATGTTGTGCAAGGAAAAAGTCTTGATGGCATCAGTCTTAATAGGAAAATTTTGGGGGATGGATTTAGGTAGGAAAAGAAGTGAAGACGTTTTGAAGATGCCTAATGCTGAGAATTTCACTATAGGAGAGTTAAGAAAATCAAGAGGATCTTGCAGTAGGCAGCTTGTTCACATATGACATAACCAAAGCTTTTTCATCGTCTCAAGGAAGGACTTGTCGGGGACAGACCTTGTTGTAGATTTAAGAGAATCTACAAGAGGAAGGGGTCTAAAGCCAAAGCTAGAGGTCAGAATTTTTTGAAGGATAGAGGCAGAGCAATTTGTCTAGAAGTAGACTCAACCAAGAAGGCTCCGGTTTTAGACTCAATAAATCAAAATTGTGAAGTATCATCAGGAGGATGCGGAGAAGATCGTTGATAAAGGGGGGGGGAAGATGAAAGGGAGGGATTTTAAAAAAAAAATTAATGGATGTTGAAGTTCAAGTTGAGGTTGAAGAGGAAAGGAGGGAGGAGGAAGATACTGGGGAATAGAGTTGAACAGCTCCCCAAGGAAAATATCACTGAGAAAGGAAAAGTGGGCATTGATCAACTAGTGAACATACATGTGGCAATTGGAAAGTCTCTTGGCCTTTTCTTTTTTTTTTTTTTGTGGGGTGGGGCAGGGAAGTGATGGTGAGGAAGGCAATTGAACATTTTGAACAAAACAAGAGGAAGGAAAGCAGTTGCAGAAGGGGGTGAGATTTGGGAGGAAGGTGAAGGGAGGGAAATAGAATTTGTTGATAATGAGTGAGAGGAGGTTGGCTGTAGTGGTGTGGGTGAGAGGGAGAGGGTTGAGAACTTGGATGTAGTTTTTCTATGTTGGCAGCCTAATTTCTCCAAGAAGTTGTTTCAAGTTATGGTTTTTTGTTTCTTTTTGGTTTTTCAGGGGAGTTTAGGGTTGTAAGTTGTTTTCGGGTCAGCTTTGTTTGAGCTTTGGGCACTTTGTTTCTCCTTAGTTTTGATTGGAGGTGTTGCCTTAACACGTGTCTAGGTTGTAATTGCTTTTTTTTTCATTTTAATGAATTTTTTAACTTTACGACAGAAAAAAAAAAACAGCCACTCAAGTGGTCATTGCATAATTGATTTAAAGTGAGCAACAAACCAACTAGCTATCTCCTCTTGAGAATTTATTTTAACTCATATGTTGTTTTAATCTTATCAATAAATAAATCGTGTTGCTGATCCAAAAAAAAAAAATTATTTCAACTCCATCAACCTCAAGATTAGCTAGAAAATTCTTCTTCCTCCTCCCACTGGCCACACCATGAAAGTATTTTAGTGTTTCCAACCCGTTCCTTGATCCATTTGTGCTCAGACTTTTGTCTCCAAGAACTCTCCTCCCACAAAAGGACCTCTTCTTATTCCTTCTTCAATTTCCATCTTAATTCTCATTCCTATATACTCATTATCCTTTGAGATTCCTTTAAATCTAGATCCTCAATTTTGGTCATCAAGGTGGCTTTTAGTTAATCCAATAGGGGTGTAAATGGATTGAATTCGAATCGAATCATGCAATATCCAAATTTGAATTAGATTCGGTATCCAATAGATATTAAAAATTAATATTCGAATTCGAATCTGATTAAATATTCAAAAATTCTATCCGGATCCAACCAATTAATTATTTTAGGTAATTAATAAATATATAAAATAAATATTTTATTTATATAAAGTATAAATATAAAAATTATTTATATAATTTAATTATTATATATATAAATTATATAAAACATTTAAATATTTTATATATTATATATGAGAATTAAATAATCAATCAAATTCAAATATTTATCGAATCGAATCAGGCCATATCCGAATCGAATTCGAATTCAATAAACTATTCAATATGAATAGGATATCCAAATTTGACCGATTAGATATTCGAATTTATCCAAATTCGATTCGATTATGTCGAATATCAAATTCGAAATTGGATTTTCAAATTCTATTGACACCCCTACCTCCAATCTTCCAAATTGATCCATGTTCCACTCTCTTATTTTGGATCTCAACCTTTTTATATTTTTGTGGAGTTTAACTCCCTTCCATTTCACCCCCCTCATTACTTTTTTTTATAAATGAGAGTAATTTTATTAAATCAAATAACAACAATACAATCAGCCTAAGAGGAGGCACGAGATGCTACCCCCCCCCTAGGACTGAACCATATACACCAAAATTGCCCAAGCCTGAGACACAATTACAAAGTAAACCAAAATAGATCTCCCCTTGACACCCCCTACTTGGCCAAAGAATCAGCCATTGCATTTGCTGATCTTCTAACCCACTGAAACCTGACAGTCATATTCCTTGTCATCCATTTAACTTTCTTTAACAGATCCCTGTAGCCCCAACAAGTTGTTTTTGGGCTAATTAGCCAGCCTACTACCACCTTGGAATCCCCTTCTACTAGCAAATTTGTCACTCCACTTTGATAGTTTGACTAGCCATCTATATGCCTTGTACCGCTGCTAGTAGCTCTGCCCTTATTGAATCACCTTCACCCACTGGTCCGGAAAATAGAGACAACATATTGCTGTCTTTGTCTCTCAGAATCCCACCAATTCCCGATGGCCTTGGGTTACCTTGGCAGATTCCATCAAAATTCAATTTTATCACACCATCCAATGGGGGAATCCATTCAGCTTGTGATTTGATCTTGATGGAAATTGTAGCAGCCACTGCATCCCAATTTCTCCTTAAGTCATCAAAGGAGTAATCTGCCAACAAGTGTGAAGATTTTAACCATGAAATGGTCCTTGTCAATATGCATTCCTTGGTTTTAGCAAGGTTTTTTTCATGTCTTGAAATATTCTAGCATTTCTCTCCTCCCATACAGTCGACAACGTAGCAGCTCTGATACATTTCCACATTAGCTTCCCTCTTTTTGTCAATCTCCCAAAAGCAACCATAGTGACAGCAACTTTACTTCAAAGGGCAAATTCCACCTACACCCAAATAATGAAACAACCTAGTTCCAAATATTGGTAGAAAAGGAGCATGATATCAGCAAATGGTTACGGTCCTCACCCTTCACTTTACACAAAGAGCACCAATTAGGGGACAAACACATAAAAGGTTTCTTCTTTTGCAAGTTTTCCATAGTATTGATCTTACCATAATAGGCTTCCCAACAGAACACTGCTATTTTGGGGGGAATTGGTCTTGTCATCCCCCTCATTACTTCACTCCACCACTCCTCAACTTTATGCACAAAATCTAGGTGTCAAACACACACATTCCCAAATCTGAATGGTTCAATTCCATTTCAAATAAAGAGGTTGTCCATTCATTTATTCATCTTAATAAAATATCTTCTTAAAAGGCAATTAAAATTATTAAATCGTTTTTCTGGTGTAAGGATTAAGAATCTAAGACCCTAACATGGACTTGTTTAGGCTTGCCTCGAGGAGTTTGGTACATTAGCTATTTGAAATAATGCAATTAAGGAAAAAAAAAGAGATTGTGGGTTTTATATGCTTGAAAATGTTTTATATGTTTGATTTTATTTTTAAATTTTCATTTGAATACGCTTTACACGTTATGTTTATATATTTTAATTTTTCATAATCGGTTTTAAAAGATTTATTTTAAAATTTAAGTTTATATTTTTCTTAATATTATGTTTAATATTCTTTTTCTGCATTTTTTTGGTTTTTTTGGGCCTTGCTTTGAAAAGGCGTGCACAACCTTAGGTGCAGATTGCCTCTTGCACTTTTTTTGTGCCTTGTGGTTTTAAAACATTGTTTTTAAGCCACCCCACCCTCACCCCCATTTAGATAAGGAGAGTTGTGGTTTATCTCTAAACGAAAACAGGTATCTCTACTAGATGCCCCTTAAACAGGAGCATTGTTGCGGTTTATCAAACAAGAAGGGATTGAATGGCCATTTATTAATATGTTTTGTGTAAACCATATGTTATTAGAGTAAATAGCTGTTTTAGTAATAACCTAATAGGTTGAGAACCATATTTTATCTTATTGGCACTAACTAAATGATGTTTTCTTTTTTTTCATAGAGAGAGAGAGAGAAAAGCATTGACAAAACAAAGAATATGCTCTAAGTGCACAGGTCACCCGTTGGCATGCCTATCTATCTTGCGAACTGGTGTATTTGAGATGAACAACAAAGCAAAACTACTAATAACAGTTTACATAAAACCGACTTAGAGGTACAGTAGTCTCACTTTTAACAAGCATGCAATATATAAGTTGTAGTTAATTTAACTACAGATATTAAAATTAATATTTATTGTTAGAACTAATAATAATCCATCCAAATTATAAAAAAAAAAATCCATAATTTATAGTTCAATTTGAATTTTATCAACCAAAATAGAAAAGGATAATGCATGAGATTTTTAGTAATGATCATAAATTTCTTGATATCATTTCCCAAGTTATGAAAATATCATCATCATCATCATCATCGAAGTCTTATCCCAACTAATGAAAATAGAATACCTCGTCAATCTATTTTATTGTACTGAGTTTGTTAAAAAAGAAAATAAGCTAAGAGAATGGATTACAAACAAATAAAAAATAATATAATAAACAGAAAGAGATTCAAGAAACAAAATAACCTTACCATCTTGGCAAATCAAGAATTGACAAGATTAAATGCCTGAATATCAACAGACGAGTATCTGCACAGGACGAATATGCACAAATAAGGACGCTAACAACAGTAAAACCAATATCTTTATCCAAAAAAGAGGAAAAGAAAAAAAAAATGTTTATACTGGAACAAAGATCGATTTCCAGAACAGCATAGACAGTGGAAACAAAATAGGAGCAAATGACAACAACACTAATTTATCAAGTAAAGACAAGAAAGATTTATCTTCTTCACATAAACCCTAATTCAAAGAACCATAAAACCGAAACAGCTCGTCAAAATACCCAGAAACCCTAAACAAGATCGAAACTTGCAGCAACATAACAAGATAATCGACTGGAATAAACAAAATACGAAGTTAGTCATGAGAAATTTCACCTTTCTTTTTTTCTATTTTCCCGTGGAGGAAGATGAACACCTTTTTTTTTCTTATGGTGGAAGGCAAATGAACAATTTAATTCGCCAAAATAGCCCAGTCAATGGGAGATGTCCCAATACACGATTATAATGTGATGTGAGACGTTTCTGCAACGCATTCTGTGGGGGCTGATTTGAACTCTAGTTTCTTTTTGTCCAAGAAATCTAGAAAAGTTAGGGGTCGGCGTCTTCAGCTGTATATTGTATCGTGCTGGGTCGGCATGACATGGCCCATGGGCGGCCTGTGATTTTGGCGGGCCGAGCTGGGCCATGCTTCCCTCCCCGGGATATTTTGCCAGCATGGTCCCCGAGCCTATGCGGGCCTGTGTTGTGTCATACCATGCCATATTATAAGTAGGGCTTGGGTTAGACCGGGTCATGAATCGGGTTAAGTTATGAGAGGTATATTTTTAAAATAAATAATAAAGTTAAAATAAATGAATAAAATAGACAAAAAAATTAAAAAAAATCTTAAAATTTTATTTTATATGAATTTTGATATATACAATAATAAAATAAAATAGTATAATAAAATTATATATATTAATATATAATGCACGACTAATTAAAGGAAACAAATCAATAAAAAATAATGCACTGCTAATTCAAGTTAATAGGAAAAACTATGGAAACTCAAATTCTACCTCTACTTTCTATTTGGTAGTTTCTTCCTTAGAGGTGTCAATGGACCAGTTTTCGGTTGGACCCATCCAAATCAAAATCAATTTGGATGGATTGAATGAATTGATAAGATATAATGAATTGGACGAGTTCAGACTTAATGGCCCAAAATATTTATTGAGTTGGATTGAACCTGACCCATCTGTAATGGATTTATATTGGATTGGACCAGTTTTTGGTCCATTAATAGAAGAAAAGAATATAGGTGTCAATCAAAATCTCAATTTTTGGTCCATTGATCCACAATGACCCATCTTGATTGTCTTCTTCTCAACCTGCTAATAAAATTTCGGCTCTTTTTAAGTTTTAACTTTTTTAAATACGAATGTAGAGAAAAAATAAACCAACAAAAACCCTTGATATCATTTTCGATACCCCAACGAAGACCAATAGGCAAGCAGACAACGAAGAAGATACCCAAATGAAGTTTCACATCATTCAAAATTTTCCCTCCCAGAGATTTGAGGGAAAAAGAACATCTTAAACGATAAATAATTGAACTAATCAAAAAGTTTGCAGAGCAGTAGGAGAGAGATCCAAACAAAACGGCAACTGGATCAAAGTACATACCCGATTCTAATCGATTACGTCAACAATCACGACGAGCTTCCCATAATCTTTGCCACAGTTCACGAGAGCTACCCTCCCGATCTCCACGTACCGCGTGAAAAGTTACAGAGAAGCAGAAAAGAAAGAAGAAAAGAAAGAAGAAAAAAGGCTCAATCACTATTGTGACGAGGGTTTTAGGGTTTCTTTCTTCCACGGATATATAGAGAGTTCTATATCTACTGAGACCTCTAAAAATCAATTTTCAAAACAATTTCCAAAATAATTATCTATACATATGAATAAGTATTCTTCATCAGGAGTCCCAGTTCAACCAAGAGTGTTCCAACACACATCCTGATATTACACAAGGACTTATACAAGAATCCTAGTCTACCTATCCACCAAGGTCCTAGTCCAACTAGGATTCCTACTGTCTTGAACATAGCAGTTTTGACACACTCCTCTTGCTTGAGGGTATATCTTTCTTGTTGGACATTCCAAGTCTTAGATCATTTCCAATCACCCAACATCCAAAATATGTAAATCGCATAAATGAACTCACCCAACTGAATAATCGGGCTTGTACAATCTAGACTCCCCTAACCAAAGGACTCGTCAAACTCAACTTTGACGGTAGCTATAGGAAAATTCAAAATTAACCTTGGTGTATCAAAACAAGCCCCATATTCAAAATTAACCCAGGTGTATCAAATTTCAATGCAGGCTTAGCCCAAGTTGGACAGGTCATGCTTCACTTTAGCCTTAAGTCCAAATGCATAGGGTTTAGCTTGTGTTAAGTTTAAATTCAGCCCAACCTACTAGATTTGAACCATAATGGTTCAATCATTTGGGTAAATGGGTTAAACAATAATGCCATAATTAAATAATAAAAATTAAAAAATAGATATAAATGCAAACAAAAAAAAAGTTATAGAAAATTTTGACATATTTAAGACATTATAAACTTATCATATCAAACAAAAATAAGTGTGATAAACAAGAATCATTTTTATTATTAATTATGTAAATGGAATAAAAATTTTAAAGTTACCCAAAAATGAGATTTTCTTTTCAAGTCAAATAGGCCAGCATATGATGTCATAATTATATAATAAAAACTCAAAAAATAAATAGAAATAAAAAACAAAGGAAACACAAAAAAAAAGTCTATAAAATATGTGTACATCTCTAATATTATATATTTGTCATATTAAATAAAAATAATATGATAAATAAGAAATACTTTATTAACAATGAAAATGAAGCGTAAAAACTAAATCCACTAGCACACCATGCTTTGATTATTTATCCTTTTTTAAATGGAATAAGGATATTGAAATTATTAATGTTATCTGAAATTGCTACACGCAACACACATGCATATTTACTAGTATTATATAATATATTAATATAAATGATATATATATATATATATATATATATATTATTCAATATATAATGAAATTTGGTTCAGTTATTTTGGCATTACATAATTTGGTTTCAGTTCGGTTTTTATCCAAATAAACCAAATGGTCACCCCTATCTGTTCCTGCTCATTTTACATAATAAAGTAGCTGCAAGAATTCTGGAGTTGGAAGGAAATCAGTCCAGATGCCCAGACACTGGTACCCTTTGGTGTGCTTGTTGAAGAAGATTCAGGGGCTGAGATTGCTGCAGATTAATATTGTCTATATCCCATATTTCCATTACATGCATGGTGTTTCTGATTGTTGTAAAAGCATTTTGTTGTTGTCCTCTTGGAAGGAGGAAAGGCTGGAATGGGTTTTCTTTGGTCATTGCTTAGTTGTTTTTCCATGGGAATGGCCTGTTGTTAGGTATTTTGAGTTTTTGGTGGTGTCTCATCACTAGAGTGTATTTTCCTTCTTTTTCTTTTTAATGATTTTTTAAGATAAAAACCCATCTAAATCATATGTTGTAATCAGGAGAAATTTTGCAACTTAGATGATAAAGTGAACTACAATGTCCATTTCATAGCCCATTTTGTCCGGTTCAAATAGTAAGTCGAGTGATACTGTGATAGATGCAGATCCATACTTGGTTGATACATGTATGGCTTGGGTAATACCCAGTATCTTCTGATATTGACACAGTATCATGAACAACAATTGCAACCGAAATTCAAACAATAATAAGATTATTTCAAAGCTGTTCTACATAATTCAATATCAGTATCTTCACTTGATCACTTTGTAATGGATCATCCATCCAGATAATGACCAATTCACCAAAGAAAACATGTCTAGAGGATATACCATGCAAAAATCAACAAAACATATCATGTAGGAAAAGGGAAAAAGAAACTAGATTATATTGGAGAAATGAACAAGTAAAAAATAGTTTTACATGAAAAAAAGCATTTTAGGTTAAAAGTCATAAAAATCTACAATTAAGACAGAGAAAATAGAATGTACCAATAACCCGAAGCATCTTCAGATCAAATTTACTGGCTAGGGCATCATGACCAATAACTTCCGCACGCTGAATAACCAGCTTCTTCAAGCTAACCAGCATATCCTGCAATATGTTTACTTTGTTTTCAATGGCGGAATATGTGAATAATCATAAACTAATGTGTGGTCATTGTACACATCTTCCTTAAAAATAGAACAAATATTTCTATAGAAACATAAGTTGTTTATAATTTATATGGAGTCCTATACAACCAAGATCTATAAGAGATTATCAGGTAATTAATACGCCATACTGGGAACTTTTCCAGGAGTGTTATGTTGAGCTCAAAAGGAAAGAGTTAGAGTTCTTCAGTTGAACCCGAGGATCTTTTTTTCTTTTTTCTAATTTAATCCATGATTGTTGTTGAAGCTTGAAATCCCAAATAGGAAAGTTAAAAGGCCAATCTGAAGCAACAAAAGACACCAAATAGGAAGACCAAGCTGACAATATAGTAAATCTACTTACACCATCTTTTGCAAAAGCCCATTGTAGAATTGGCAGAAATATGAATATAAGCAAATCGTCATCATCATCATCTAAGCCTTGTCTCAACTATATGGAGCTGGCAACATGAATCCTATTCTACCATACCTATTGTTAAACTATGGGCCCTAAATCATTTCTCAGTACTTCAACCCATTTCCTTTTTGGTCTGCCCCTAGCTCTAGTTCCTTCAATTTGTAACAGATCATTTCTTCTTACTGGCACTGTAGTGGATGGGTCTTCTCTATACATTCCTAAATCATCTGTCTAGTTTTTCCTCACTTTATCACCTATTGGGGTTACTCCAGAGTTCCTTCAAATAGGTCAATTTTTTTATCCTATCCCTTTTAGTTATCCACCCTATTCATCTCAAAATTTGCAAATCTGCCACACTGATATTTTGGGCACTTCTTGACTACCCAACATTCTACTCCATACAACATTGCTAGCTTGTATAAAATCATTGCTAAAGTCCAGGCTGGTGGTTGAAGAGTGTATTGCCCTATGTTATCTCTCAAAACCAAGGAGCTTTTGTATAATGGATTGTGAGTAATGTTTATGGCTGTGTGACTATCACAGTATAATCACACCACAAGCTGCTCAAATGCAACTCCCAAATCTTTTAATAGAACCTTCAACCACAGTAGTTTTGACACTCCAAGAACCATTGACCTATATTCTACTTCAACGCTTAACCTTGCCACAACTAAATTCATCTTGTTTCCCCAAGAACCAAGATTGCATCTGACAAATGTGCAATAGCCAAAAGTAGAATACCTGTCATCTAGGATCCTGCCCAATCTACATCACTAAATGCTTTCAATTTCAAATGACTGATTTTTTTATCAGTATAAGTAGATTTTATTAATATCAACTTGAAGATTACATCGATGTGGGATTATTAATTTTGAATGACCATGGTTAGTAAATAAGACTCCTTTTCCTAGARCTCCCTTGAGATACAATTAAGGATCCTCTCAACCACTTCAAGATG